CGGGCGCACCCCCCTGGGCAGGCGGGGATCGCAGCCGTGCCCCTTTCCCTCCCCGCGCGTTGCTCTTGCCTTTCAGCGCCTCTGCCTGCCCGGTTTTTGGGGCAGGTGGCACCAGGCAGCATGCGTCTCCCTCCTGCCTGGGCGGGCAGGAGAGCCGTGGCCTGCAGCAGGCAACTTGCACGCCGACGCATTCGCTCTCCTGTTCCTGTCCTCGCTGCCCCAGCGCCTCTGAGAAAATCTTGATAACTGTGTGGTTTGAGTGCCCGGTGCCTGCATGTGCGCGCTGTGGCTCTCGTGGCCTGCCAAGGACCAGAAGCTGAGCCCCTGCTCTCGGGCCACAGAGTCCTGTCGCACACGTCCAAAGCATAATTCCTCCTTGGAACGTGTTTCTGTGTTGCGTTCCCTGGTTTGGGGGGTGTAGTGGGTTGCGTTGGCAGGGGTTCAGCCTGACCTCCCCTCAGAAGTCCCAAATTCTAAACACGAGGTGTGCAAATGCCAAGTTATTGCCACTGTGTACTTGGTCACGTCTCCCTAAGATGAGAGAAAAACTCCGGCATTGTGGGCACCCCCTCCCCACCCCATCTCGCTGATTAGGGAGGTGATCGGCTGCTCTTGCGTTCCTCTTGCCACCTTCCTGGTGACACCCTGGGAAGCGGTTTCCCTGGGTCTGCATGGATCTGAATTTGGGTGTTTAGGGCAGCAGGCTTTTCTGGACAAGGCAACTGCTGACTTTTTTGGGGGTTATAAAACACAACTTGAGCCTTGCCTAGATCAAAATGAGGGGAGTTGATCTGTGATTGTCTTAGTGGGCTTAATCTAATTATCACCTTCACTACCTCCGGTCGAGGCAGAGGTTGTTCTTCAGCAGTGTTCTTTATTTCTGTTGATTTCTGAGGTACGAGCCCCAGCTGGGGACAGAGAAGGTGGTAATTAGGTGGAGGTGATGGGTCCAATGGGAGACCTTTAACTCCTCTTCTAGAGGCCTGTTTGGGGGCGTTCACATTTATTGCTGTGTCCGTTGTTTCCGTTGCCAACCGTTGCATCTCGTAATGCAACGGCAAGAGGCTGGATTTGCTTCTCACTCGCCGCGGTGCAGGGGGTGAGACGCGGCTGCGATGGATGAGTCGTTCTTCCCTGCTTTGTCCATAAAATGGGGCTAATCCCATGTAAACCAGCGAGGCGGACAGAGGGAGGAGGATGGAAGTGGTTGTAAGCCAGGCCAGGAGATAAGCGCCGAGTGGACGCCAGCCTTCGCGCTGTTGTCTGCACTAAAACCTTTGTCTGTTTTCTGTACCTCACTGTCCGTAACAAAAGCTGTGTACCAAACTGTAGAGAAACGCAGATATGCGAGATATAGGCCGTTCTCCCTGAAGCCAGGAGGACGGCTGTGGAAGCCTAGCTCTGGCCAGGCTTCCAGACTTCCCCACAGAGCAAAAGTGTCCGGTGCACACTGCTGTGCGTCCTCCTCTTGAATGACAGCAGGAAAGCATCACCACATCGTCCCTCTGAGGCAGGGAGCCCTGTTTATGTACAGAGCTGAGCACCAGAAGGCCCGGATTCTCTGTTACTGTGGCAGGGGCGATGAGAAAATAGTCTTCTATGGAGAGACCCCGCAGCTTTGTGTGGCGCTGCAAGTCTCGGTGTTTACCCTTCCCCGTGACGTCCAGCCGTCTGACGCTAGCGGCTTTGCCTTTTTGTTTGCAGTCTGCATCTCAGCAGTTGATGTCCAGTCCTGTGGTCTGGGCTGAAAAAATCCTCCTTTGACGTCTCGCTGTTGGGGTTCTGTGGTGGCAGGGACCCTCGGCAGCAGGGGGTGCTGGCTAGAGCCTGTTTCCCATCTCACGGGTAACTCTGTGCTGGAAGATGGGGAGGGTGGCAGAGAGAAGCGACGTTCTTGGGTTGGTGGTCTACAGCACAAGGTGTCTGGCCCGCTTCGGTGATGTGGCTGGCCCGCAGGTTTGAGAACGCTTTTGCATGCACTGCTAAATTTTGAGAGTCTTAAATCTCAGTGGCAGATGAGAGCTGATTGTGCAATGTCAAAATTAGCAGAGAGCGCTGGTGGGGGGAGAGCAGTGGGGCCCTCGGGCTGAGCGGCGAAGGGTTGGGGGTGTCAAGGCTGAGGGCAGCAGTGAGCGAGCTCTGGGGCAGGCTTCTCTGTCTAACTTCTGGGTGTAGTTAACCAAAACAGAGTGGGAACAGGTAAAGCACATCCTGCCTTTGTGCGATCCTGGATCTGCCCTGGCTGGGAGTTGCCTGACGGGGAAGGAACTGTTTGTCTGTTTGACCTGCGCCATGGAAACTCGGCTGGATCGGGGTGGGTAGGTAGGTGGCTGCGGATTGCAGTGAAGCGACATGCGCTTAGGAACCAGTAACTGAGAGTGAACTCTCTCCTCCCTATGCCATTAGGCTCCTGTCCCCGGGCGGTGACGGAAGGCAGTGTGTTTAAGGGAAGCTTGTAACGTTGACGTGCATGTTTCCTCCTTCCAGGGGTAGGAGCATGTTGAGGAGCTGCGGTGGTAATGGACAGCAACTGAAATAAGGAAGGGAATGTTGTGAGCTGGGGACACATGTTTTCCCCAACCCGGCACAGGTGGGGAGAGCCCGGTGAAGCGTGCTTTTGCGTCTTGTCTGATGTTTCAGAAAGATGGAAGCCACGCAGCACCCAGCTCTTCAGGGCAGATTGCTAGCGGAGACGGTTAGAAGAGGGCTTGTAGCAGACTGAGTAAAGCACGGTGGAAAGTGGGGTAGGAGGGAAGGGAGGAGCGCAGGGCTTCCAGAAGCAAGTGCTGGAGGAAGAGGAGATTGGAGTGAGACTTTACAGGGCCTCAACCAAAGAAGAGGAGATGGGGACTGAAAGAAGTGGAAGGTGGCGGCAGCTGCACTTGCAAAAGTCCTGAGGGAAGGAACTGAAAATTAAAGGAAGTCCCCAGAAGTGGAGGTCAGGGGAAATAGAAGCAGCCCCTCATATGAGTGGAGTGAAACCCCTGAGACTGGGGAAGAGTGCTCTGGAGGTGCCTGAGCCACGCGGAGTAGGGAAAACACCCTGGAAAGTGGGTGTTCTAGGATTGGAAAAAGCAGGTGGAAGTCCCAAGGGAGAGGGAAAAGGGAGTCACCGGTGACACAGATGCTCAGTAGAGTTTGACTGGGAGGAAGGAGTAGGGCTAAGCTGAGGGCAGGTCCAGAGAAGCTGGAAAGGAGGAGTCACTGGGCTGGAAGTGGCAGAGGGAAAGGAACCGGAGGCAGGAGCAGAGCCTGTGTGTGCCTCAGGTGAGCGAGCTGAGCTGGGGACCCTTCTGAGCAGGGAAGACTGTGAGTGGCCTTTGTGGATGAGGCAAAGTGACCAGAGGGACAACGGGTTTGGGGAGAAGGTGGAGGGAAAGGAGGGGTTGATAGGCCAGAGGTTGCAAGGCTGCAGGAGGGGAAAGCCAGGGAGGAAAGCATGTATTTTGGGAGAATGGGGTGAACGTGGCCTGAATCGGCATAATCGGTGGGACATCAGGGTGGGTTTTGCTTGTGTCTCTCCCAAGCACCGGGGTAAATGACAAGGGTGGTCAGGCAGAGGTAAGCCGCATAGTTTAGCCCAAAGGAAAGAGGAAAAGATACCTTGAAGATTGCACAGCAAGATCCCAGCACACCGTGCCGTGCTGCACCCTCGATGGCTTCAGCAGCCTGGATATTCCCAGCCGTGGGAGCGTGGGACCTGTTGCCTCATGGTCGGGGCACACAGGTGTCCTAGCTTCAGCTTCCCGCTCTCGGCTCGGGCGCTCGGAGGGCAGCAGGCTCTGCCTCCACCGCACCAATCTGCCCGGGCCTTTCCGGGAGGGTGGCCTCTGCCCCAGGGCTGGGACTGGTGGGCTCTGGAGGGGCTCAGCACTCTGTGGGGCTCGAGGAGGGAGGCTCTGAGCTGCGCAGTGGCTCTGGGAGCTAGGTGGGATGGGCTCAGCAGTCTTCTGTAGGTTTGGCGAGGTGTGGAGTTATTCCTGGGCGAAGGCGGCAAGGAGCCGGGGATTGTATTTGCGTTGCATCTCGCTTGGGTGCCGCTAATGACAGCGCTTGGGATTTCTCCCCCACATGTAGTGCTGCTTCAGGTAGGCTGTCCCATGAGCAATTACCTCGGCTCCTTCGTTCTTTATCTGATGAGGAGCTTGCTCCTGTGCTGCTTGGTGTTCGTTGCTGAGCTGAGCTGGCACGCAGACCTGTGCAAAGGCGCAGTGTGTCGGATCACCCCGTGTGAAGGGTTGGGGCACTGCAACTCCTGGTCCCGTCTTTGGGTGGAAGAGCTGAGGCAGAACCAAGCAGGACCTGCTCGGGGGGGGGGGGGGCCCTGGCCCTGATCGAGGAGCACACTGATTGCGCTGTGCAAGGAAAGGGGTGGAGATGATCGCTGGAGGGGGAATATCGCAGGAGAAAACTCCCTCAATTCGGCAGTATCTGTTTGAGTTCAAGGTGTGGCTTTGTTTTCATGGCGGAGCCCTTCAAAGGGCTGGGGTGTTCTGTTACAGCAGACGAGCATGTTAGCAGATTGCTTCTGCTAAAGTAATTAGCAGTGATGTCATCTTTAAACTTCTGAGGCACCTATCTCTAGAACTGCTGTCCGCCTGTATCGCAGCAGCAGCTAGCTCGGACGACGAGTGCTTCTCTCCCAGGGCTCACTCTGGGGTGTCGGGCTTGTCCCCAGATAGGGTGTGTTGGGGCTTGTGCTTGCGCCTCATTGCAGCTCCACGTTGTGTTCGGGGGGGGATAGAGCGAGGCTGGGGAGCTGCTGCGGAGGGGAACGACAGTTTTCTCTGGTGTTACCCTTCAACTCCCCACGATCGAGAGCTGCTACCAGGTGAACCTGGAGCTTTCCCCAGGCAGCTCATGAGCATCAGTCCAGCGTCTCCCCTCGGTCACAAGAGCAAAGTAACTTGGTGTGAGGAGTTGAGCTTTGTTTCTGCAAAGGGCGAGCTGCTCTGCAGTGGGAGCAGTTTCTTCCTTAGTCAGCCAAGTGACTGACGCCTCGTTTTGTGACTGAACTGATTTAATTGTAATATGTTCTTGTCATTAAACGCGCCTGTAATTTTGTGCCGCAGTTCTCTCAACCTTCATGAGTGTTTAGTCAGCACTAGATACTTTCCTGTCCACCCTGAAGAAAAGAAGAAACTTTGAGAGGCAGAGGAGGAGGAAACTGGAAGGGAGAAGCAATCATGTCGTTAGGGCGCTGTACTTGGACCTGCAGAGCAAGGGAGGCCTCGCCACCGAACAAGGGGGTGGAGAAGGGATGACAAATCGAGGGGCAGCTGCTGTAGTAGTAGTGATCGTTGTGGTATAATCGGTGTCTAGGTCACCCCTGAGCTGTGGTGGGCTCTTGGGATTTTGGGGTTTGGGGCAGGTTGGTGCCTCCTGCTTCAGTTTCCAGAAAGGTTTCATTTTCCCTATTTTCTGTCGCACTCTCTCCTGCATCCTCATGGTCAGCCAAGGGTGCCATGTTCCCAAGGGCACCCCAAAACAGTTGGGGCTACCTAGCGAGAATCCAGCTCTCCTCTGTCCGGAGCTGCAAGTACCTCCTCCGGTTGAGGGGCTGGTGTTTTCCACAGGCCTCTCCCATCTCCTACCCTCTGGGGGAAGGGAGCGAGATTCCTGGGTCGCTTTTCCTCCACCCTCCTATTAAGGCTCTAAGTCTCTGATCAGCCCCCTCGCCTCAACGGAGCAGGTGTTCTCTAGCCTTCGGGCTTGAGCTGTAACTGCAGAAAGGTGTTGGGTCCCTTGTCTTCTCTGGGGCTCAGTGTGGATTTCTCAGGTGGTCTCAGAGGGGTTTGTTGGCCCAGCTTTCACTGTGGCCAATGCTGGCAGGCCCTCGGGGTGGGAAATGAGGCGACAGGCTGTGGCTGGGCTCACTTGGCTAATGACAGCCTCTGTGGGGTGGTCATTACCCTGTCTTTGCAGATGTAGGAAGGGACGCTGGTGTGGGGTGATAGGCCTGGGGCTGCGGCGTCAATCTGTGTCAGAGCTGGGCTTGGAGATCGGCATCTTGCTGACTGGGACTTGCCAACAGGGTTTTAAATCTACCAGGCGCTGTTTCCATCTTCCACTAAAGGCCTGTTCCATATCCCAGGGAGCTCGGTGTTATTTCAGTGAGTACTTTTACCTGACTGTGTCTCTTCTCTTGCATTGCTAATTTTTTTTTTTTCCCTCCCTAGGTGAGGTGTGGCGTACCAGATGTCAAGTTTTAATGATTTTGTGTCGGTTTTTTAAAAGACGAATGGATTAATGAAGAAGAATTTTAGCAAAGGAAGGGGAGGAGAAAAAAGAACAAGTTGGACCAAACAGAGATCTTCCCCTGCACCACTTGGGCCATGGGTGAGACAGACCCACTCAGCACCGTTTTCACCATCGGTTGTCTCCTGGGGTTGTAAAAGCGCTCCCTGAAAGCTGCCCTCCAGATCTCTCCATTAACCTACCCTGCGCTGCTTGGGAATGGTGGCCGCAGACAAGATCTAATGAAATGCCTGTCGATTCCCAACCGCTGAGTGGACACTAAGCCCATGAAAAGGCCTGGGGGGTCAGGAGAAAGGGACAAGTAGGAAGAGGAGGAGAACACGCAATCTGCTGGACCTTCCCCTCCCACCCCCCTTGCAAAGAAAGGATTTACAGCTCAACCTTGCACCAGCTGTTCCTCGGCTTTAACAGTCAAGAGAGAAATAAATAAAATTAAACGGCCACCGCCAGCCAGCCCCAGATCCTGGTGAAATCAGGGAGAGTGTTTCTGCGACCCCCTCCAGCGAGGGGGAGGAGGAGGAGGAGGCGCCAGCACAGCAGTGCTGTGAGGAAGCTGGGCAGATTGCTTGCGAGACAACCCCCTCCTCCCGTGCCGCAACCGGAGGGGGCTGCGGCTTATCAGAGGGCAGATTAAAAAGGAGAAGTGGCTTCCTTGAGACTCCCGGCGTGGCTTTTTTTGCAAGAAGAGCGCTGAGATCTTGCCCTTTCCCAGGGCGCTGGCTGGGTGGGAAGCTGTGCCCAGCTCCTTGCCTTGCGCATCGCGCTCGTCCCCTCGCCTGAGCCCGGAAGGCTCCCCTTCTCCTCAGAGCCTGGTTGCTGGTGTCAGCCCTGTGGGGACCTGCTTTTTGCAGGCTGTTGCCTGACTGAGGGAAGCTCGCAAGGGCTCTCGCCTTTCCTGCCCCAACGTCTGTTTTAAATCCAAATCCAGTTCTCTGTTCTGAATTTTTAATGTTTTTAAACCTCCTTCCCTGCGCCCACGAACTTTTGTGGGGCAGGTTATAGTGTGGACTCCTCTCCTGGGCCTCACGCTGCAGAGACCGCCGTGGACTTCTCTGGACTGTCCACTCCGGTCAGAGCTCGCCCTGGGAGCAAGCGTGGAGGCTGGGTAGTGGTTTGCCCCCGTCCCTCTCCCCTCCCCTTCTCATCTCGCTCTGACTCCCGCTGGGCCTGGGCTATGCTGCGGGGCGGATCCCCCACCACAGCTCCAACATGCCAGCAGCATCTGGAAAGAGATTCAAACCCAGCAAATACGTCCCGGTCTCAGCTGCTGCCATCTTTCTAGTGGGAGCCACCACCCTCTTCTTTGCCTTCACGTGAGTCCAAGCTACTCAACCAAAGAGTGGGGAGGGCGAAGGGAGGCCCGGGGACCAAGCCCGCTCTGTGTGGTGCCATGAGGTTGGGGGACAGAGACCACACGGGGGTTATCTGGGAGAGGAGCTGTGACTTGTGGCTGGACTAAAGGGGGGATGCCGTGCTCTGGGTGCTGAAGGGTGGGCAATGGAGTAGCCCTGCAGTCCATTGGAGCCATTCAGCCTCAGCTGGACCCATTTCGTTGGGTTTCCCGGTGAGGTGAGCCAGAGGAAGCAGGGCACGGCAGATCCCCGCGAGGCACCTTGCCACTGCTCGGCTCCGGTTCCTGGCAGCCGCTCCTCTCCTGTCTTCGGGTGTTTGCACAATGCGCTCGTCTCGCTGGCAACTCTCTCACAAATCAGCCGGGCTGGGAATTAGTTTGTGACCTGTAGGTGGAAAATGGCATAGATAATTTTCTTCTTTGTTGCTAAGTGAAGTGGTTTGGTGGACTGGGGCGGGCTCCGTGTTATTTTTAGAGTTTCGTAACTGATTTGTGAGCCACAAAGGAAAGTTCAAGGAGAAGTACTCTGACCCCAGTGTGGATCTATTGCTGCTGTTAATGTCAGCCATGACCTGAGGAAACGAGGGTTTGGCATCTCTGGAGAGGACCCGAAGGAGGTGGCCGGCCGGTGGTCACCGGGGCCTGAGGCAGGTTCCTGTGCTGCCCTTGGAGCCCCTGGGGAAAAGCCAGGGTGTAAAATGGTGCCAGTTGCTGGGGAGGACCGGACTGTACCCTAGGGATCTCCCTGGGCTGGGAGAGGGGTAGGACTGCTGCTCACGTTAACATTTTCCCTTCCCGGGTGACAAACATCTTCTTTATGCTTGCTTGGGGCTGAGCCGAGCTGGTTCGGGGTTGGTGGCAGGTGGGGAGACAGGACCTCAGGGTGGGGGGGAGGTTGCCGAGTGGCAGGGAGCTGCCCCTGCTCCCTGCTCGAGCG